CTTCTCATGCTTATTGCTCCAGGAGAAGGAGCGCAGTAGGGCTGACTCCGCCCAGGCAATTGTGCCTCGAATACAAAAATATTTTCAAAGCATATCGTTCTAGTCTCCAACTTCTCTCTTCGTAAAGCCTCGGCATTGTTGTCACGTTTGATAGATTCTTCTGTTGGTAGGTGGAACTTTTATTTTGGCCTGACGTTTCGACTAGATCGTCATCATCAAAGGCTTAGTCCACCACAGCGAGAGCAGGAAGTAGCCGCTCAGTTAGTTGTTAGTATTGTACTGTGGTGGACTGGGCCTCTGACGATGACGATCTAGTCGAAACGTCAGGCCAAAATAAAAGTTCCACTTACCAACTTCGTGCGCACAGAAAAATTTATCAAGCATATTGTTGTGTTTTGCTTTAGGCAATCGATATTTGGTTTGGCTTCACTTCGGTATTCGTTTTTCTCACTATGCTTCAGGCATTAGTTGTCATCACATTGGAGCACCATAGTAAAACCATTGTGAGTAACATTCATCCTCTAATCAGTTTTTTCCTTGACAATATTGAAAACTGGTCGTACGGTTGCCATCGCTGAAGTCAGCTGGGGCGTGTCAGCGTGGCCTAAGCGTGCCCATTTTCGATTGATTGTTGAGGCTTTGGGTGCTCAACGAATGCTATTAAAGGGGCCAGTACCCACGCAACGCTGACACACCCCGAGTGACTTTGAAGATAAAGGCTATAAACGCATTCTTTCAGCGCCGAAAGTGTGAGCAAAACGTCGATGATTACAGTAAATATAAAATAATGCTGATGATGTTACGCAGTCGCGCTTTTCATCGCATGGCTAGGAAATTGGATGAGTTCTGCAAGGTCAGAATAATTTATGTGCGAGTTTGAGGTGTCACAATTTTTTTATTCCGAAATCAACGACTCTGCTGAAAAGATCAGGCCGCATTTTTTTCGCATTTTGCTTTGTGGCTGTTCTGGGCTTCGCTTGCTTTTTGTGCATAAGAAGCTAGCGTTGGGGAAGACACATTCCGCGATAATCGAATGGGAGGAGACTCATAATCGTAGTTCCTCCATTGGGGCGTGATTCTCTTCCTTAGCGTGTCAGGAGGGGCGCATCACATCTGTGAGGGAAATACTATGTTTGTGAGTCCCCGCCTGTTCCTCCACCCATTCAGTAACCATGGAATGTCTTTTCGAGCGGCAAGCGCAGGACACCGTGGGCAAGGGTTGGGTATCATTTCAGGAAAAGCCAGCTTGGGCGGCTCCCGATTTCTCCTATACGCATTGCTCAAATACCCCCCGCCTCCACGATTTGAAATCACCCCTTATATCGAAGCATTGCAGGTGATGTATCCAGTGGCGTTTCTTCTCTTCCTAATGATCTATGGATTCGTCATTATTCAAGGAGAGGAAGACAAGTGCTTGCAACAATGACTTCTCAGAAGTTTTCCTTTAATCTCGATCTTGTTCTATAACGTCAAATAAACAAGACTCATGCCACCTACTTGTCAGAAATGGTCAAGCTTAAGAATAAAAAACGGTGTTGACTAAGGCCCTTCTGGGTACGACGTGTGTTATCTTACTGCTGGGATGAACGTGATAGCACGTTGAATGTGATGTGTTTCAATATAAAAAGCTTAACGGTGGCTCTGCGATACACAGGTCACCGTTCTTATCCACCCAGATAAAGCCTATCACCAGCTCGCCAGCCATCGACTGTGACTGTTTTGGCCCAGCGCTGTTAACAGTCAAGAGTGAATCCGAAATTCGACTCCCTCTGTTGAACCTGTACTGCCAGCGCCACACCTCTCCTTGAGTGACACTACTGAAGATATTGTGAATCCTTTCAGAGATGCTAGCGAAAGCACAGCGTTGCGCCTGGCTACGCAGATGACCGTCGTCAATGCACAGAATTCCGTTATGTCCCGGACGTGAGCAACTCGTACAGTGGTAGAAAGATCGGCACCACGTCTGACTCCATATTTTTCATTAATGACCACTTTGAGCTGGCACCTTCACCTTATCAAGCACAAACCTCATGAAAGAGCTGTACAATCTAATATTTGAAGACCCTTCGAATGACATGCTATAGCTTGGTCATGTCGCAGGCGGACGAATGACTCATGAGATGATGGGACTCGTCAGTCGCGTCTTTGTATAACCATCGGACACCATCTTGTCTTCCAGACAACTCCAAAGAAATGCGCCCAAGAAAGGAATTTCAAACCAAGTCAAATTTCTAGTCCACCCTCTCGTGTGCTTATATTTTTGCCCTTTTACGAGAAAGCCTCCCAGACCTTCTTTACACCATCGGCGAGTCATGTTGACAGTTTCTCATAACCATCAGCATCGATTACCAGGCTTGCCAATGGTAAGAGTGCATCAGAGGATCACTCTGCAAGAAGTGAGGTATAGCTGGCAAAATGCTAGTTAGAGCCATACCTTCCAAATGTCCTGACTCTTTTCGAACTGTAACGATCTGTTGCCTTTACCTACAGTCCTTATCCCTGAAACGGAGTAGGCGTGGCATTTGAACATGGCACAGAATGGGTCACTCGTGGAATATTTCAGTTCGAGACAACTGTCATCTTGTTCAGTGTTGGGCAGAGTCATGACCGCAATGCGCCAGAAAGAAAATGTCTCATCAAGAGCTCATCCACCACGTTTAGTTGAAGTACGCAGCCACGCCTACCACATTTCAAGGATCACGAATATATGTACCATCGTTTCGAGAAGCCGGCGCTGTCCGGCTTGGACAGGCATTTTTCGCTACCCCTAATTCCTTTTATTGGTTCATGATAACTAACAAGTCTCCTTTTTATCAGACCTGTAAGTTCTTGTGAGGGTGCGGAACTGTTTAGGTGATCCGTTTTGCTCACAGGAACCTGAGGTCTTCACAAGGTAGTCTGTCATCAACGTTAGCTGTACATACTTACCGTGCCCTAGCCATAGCGAACCTGACTGACAAACTATGACATTTATATAGTTTCGTCGGAGTAGTACTATATCCCGAACGCTGTAGACACGGACGCTACACTACTACATTCCTTTTCCATCGTTCAGCACCCAGCAGTAGATGTTCCAAATAGGGCTTCTCCCGTCGAAGTTTTATTCCTCGAAACATTCAATACGAGGGCGTGAGATGTTAGTGTATACCGCTGGCATTTAGCTCAGCGCCCAACCCTCGAGTCAGCCTCACTCTCGCGTTTGAATCGTGCCGTTTATCATCGAACAGATCTCGTACGAATGATCGGGCCGTACATAAACATAAGCTGCGTTCACATTCAGGATTGCCTTACTAGCTCTTGGGTCACATTCTGACTTGCTCTTTCTCCTTTTTTTCCATTGAGGTAGTCTAGTAGATCGTACGTAGATCGCTTACCATGGATGCGGACAACATCCAGGCGGTTTCGGCCCATATGCGCCTACCAACCTTTCTATCTACTCCGTGGTTACTAAACTCTGTTGGGCAGCGATAAAAACAACTGTCTATACAATCGGTTAGGTCCCGCAAGTCGCCTGTGTGTTGCGCCATATCGCATTCGAAGAGCCGCTACGATCATGAAGCAAAAGCCTCATCCTTTGTTCCTACTTTTCTACTTCGTTCTCCTTTAACACCATTGCAATCATCTTCCTATCCAATGACGGCACACACACTGCGTACACTGGCGCATCACCAGCCAAGGGCGGTAAGTATTTGGCGCTGGAGAGGCTGGGGGGGAGGGGGGTGATCGTCTGATGCTGCCACTATGAAAGAAAATATTGATGTTCTGGCGATGCTGACTTTTCTCGTTTGGCTTTCCCCTTTCACGTGCGCTATATACCCACTGCACTCCCTACCCACTTGATGGCAGTTTTTTGAATACAAATTTCGGAGATTTTTGTAAAAGAAACCTCCGAAAAGTGGGGAAGAAGCTGGAGGACTTTAGGAAAGGCGATGGTATGAATGAAGTGAGAAAGGAAGTGACCATTACCAGAGAGCGGAAATTCTTGAGGGCGGGGGCAAGTTGTGGAGATTTCTCAAAGGACAGCATGTGCTCTGTGTACGGTGAACAAAGGAACAGGAACAAATAGACTCACCAAGCCGAATACTTTCCACATCGGGATGGGGAAGCCTCCTCGATGAAGCAACCCTGTACCTGGCCAGAACCATCACAGTTTACTATGTAGGCTCGGAGGACCAAAGCTGAACTTTACTGTTTTCCCCTGTGAGGGGAGTGAGCCCTACTACCTTAACCACATCCATCATCAAGAGCTGCTGGAGGGAATCACCGTGACCAGGGCAAGCGTATATATATGCTGTGGAGCAGCTTCCAGCGATTGCCTTTTGTGCAAATCGCTTACTGTCTTTCATTAGTTCTAGAAGATACAGTCGTGACTTGCTGCGGACGATGGGGCGGTCCGCAGGGCTGGGTTTGGCGCATTGCCAAATCCATTCTTCACCAGTTTTCTGCAAAGGGCAGTGACAGCAATAAGTGGAAAACGATTGAAGAACTGATACGGTCTTGTCGCTTGCCGAAAAAAAAAAGAACGAGAAAAAAAGGACGTTGGCGCTGTGCCAACCCTATCGCGCTGAGGCCATCATCCAAAAAGACGAACAACGCACTGTACCACTCGGTTCAGCTGTATGCCGAAGTTGTCTCATTCACACTTCGCTCTGAAAACTCAACATGAGATGGTCAGGAGCACCGGCTATCACAGGGCGTCGTTCTGCATGGCATTCTTGGAAAATATGATAGCGAATGTCCACGGTGATCGTTTACTCTAGAAAGGTAGCTTCACTGATCCATGATCAAACGGCTCATCGTCGCCCACCTCCTTCCCCTCAGTTCAGGATTCTTCCAGAAGTCAGGTCTGGCTTCCAGAACTCTGAACATCTAAACCTTATTTCCACCTAGTTCTTGCACGGCGTATTAAAATTTTTGCCGGATCTTAGTGGCGCTCTGACTGGCAGACGGTGAGTCAAACGATTCTCAGATTTAGCTGCGACTGTGGTTGAGTCTGTCACACTTCAGTTTCCCCATCATTTTGACTAAAAAAAACATTAAACATTAGCAAAAACATTAAACGCCATGTGTAAACATCCACACACACTGCGCTGTGTTCGCGCTGTGGTTTGCGGGCTAGGGTTTTACCTGACTTTCGTCTCTGGGACAGTTTATTCTGCCTTTTCTTCTTAGAGCATCTTCTCTTTGATACGCTCGGTTCAGTTCGCTCTCCGGTATTTATTCAATAATTTCTTTTCGTATTTTTCAGAAAAAGATCGATCGATGACGTCTGGTTAAGCGGTCGACGCACCATTTTTCTGTTCGCGTCCGACTGCCTTTCTTCTCACATTCTCCTTCTAACGTCTCCATCTGACGGTTCCCTTTCTTCGTTCTTTGAATTGCTTGACAAACTGAGCCATGTCAGCCGGCCCGCCAATTCCATAGCCTAGCGCTAAAGTGACGGACTTTGAATTCAACACGTCCTGAAGGACGTGCCGATTCCATTTAACTATATTTGAATCTTTTATTATTTACTGCGCAGTGATGTGATCTACTGGGCATTTTCTTTCCCGAGTCCTGAAACGGACGAGTTGAAGTACCTCGAGTCCTTGGGAACTTGCTCTAGAAGAAGGGACCGATATAAACAAGCTTCAGCGCAGTTCGACTTGGTAGGGGCATTTTGCACTTTCGCTAGTTCCTTTTGTTGGTTCATGTTAACGAACAGGTCTCCCTCTGACGGTTTTTAACAAATGAGTCCTAGAATGAACAACCGAAATGCTGACCCATAACAGATGATCTCTCGCCGTTTTCACCGCATTGCGAGCTACTTACACTCCTTATCCCAAAGATAGAGTAGGCGTGGCATCGAACATGGCACAGAATAAGTTACTCGTGGAATATTTCACTTTGCAACAGCTGTCATCTTCTTCTGTATTGAACAGAGACACGACCACAATTGAGTCAAATTGAAAATATCTCTCCAAAAGCTTAGCCACCGCCACGTTTAGTTGAAGTACGTAGCCACGCCCAACATCTCAAGGATTCCGAGTATATGTAAGCGATGAGACGGCTGGATCGGAATATAGGTGCTACACGAGAACGGAGTCAGTCTCATTTCTATTACTAACCCTTAGTAGAGCGGCCGCATCCCGCTGGACTTGGTGGGTCTGTTTTACTTGAATTAGATTTTCTGTTGTTTCTTAAAGTTCTGTCCGAAACGCTAGGGGGATGAGGCGTTCGGTGGTTCATAAGGCAAATTATAAATCCTGAGCCACGCTTAGGCTTCTAAGGATGACGATCTGATCAAAGCGTTAGTACTGCAAGGCAGCGTTCAGACTTCGCAACGGCAGCGCTGTTCCACGCGATCGATGCAGTCGAAAGCATGCGCATCGATCGCGTCGAATGGGCGACCGAAACGCTGCCTTCGCGAAGTCTGAACGCTGCCTA